GTGGACAGGCCACACTCCTTCACACAGACGATGGGCCACACGCCTGCGCATGTTGGACGGGCCACACACGGAGGACGGGCCATGCACCTACACACGGAGGACATGCCACATGCCAACACACGGATGACGGGCCAGACGCCTACACAAGGTGGATTGGGCCACACACCTTCACACGGTGGAGGGGTCATGCCCTCCAAACAGAGGATGGGCCACATGCCTCCACATGGAAGACGGGCCACTCCTTCACATCGAGGGTGGGCCACATGCCTCCACATGGTCGACGGGCCACTCCTTCACATCGAGGATGGGCCACTCCTTCACAAAGAGCATGGACCACATGTCTTCACACGGAGGACGGGCCACATGGCTACACATGGTCGACGGGCCACTCCTTCACATCGAGGACGGGCCACATGCCTACACACGCAGGACGGGCCACGTGGCTACACATGTGTAGAGACGTAAATAGCGTCTCTGCGGCGTAAAAGCCCGATACTGCATGACTGCTGTGGGGAGGCGCACTTCCCTTTCATTTACCTGTCGACGGGGGCCCAAGGGGCGCTGTCACGGGTTCCGTCGGGAGAGTCGGAGGAAGGAGCGTGGCAAGAGGCCGAGTGGGGCCACGCTCGAGGAGGGGTCAAGGAAGAGGCGGAGCCATCGGGCAGTCGAGTGGGAGAACTGGCGGTGCGTGGTCACGTCGGGGGAAGCGGGAGACCGTCGGTAGTAGGAACTCGGTGGGGCAGGGATCCCCTCTCCCTTGTTGGGGTCTAGAATAGCCAGTGTAATTTGTAAATCCGTTTAATGGTAATAAATTGTGGTGCCTCCTACTTCAGTGTGTGCCTCGTCAAACACGCACTACACACGGATGACGGGCCAGAAGGCTAGACGGTGGACTGGCCACACACCTACACACGAAGAACGGGCCACACACTGACACACGGAGGATGGGCCACATGCTTCCACATGGAGGACGGGCGACGCCCACACAAAGAGGACGGGTCACACGCCTACACGATCGACGGGCGGCGACAAGCCTACTCACGGAGGACGGGCCACACGCCTACACAGACGACAGGCCACATGCCTACACACGGAGGATGGGCCACACGCCTACTACACAAGGTGGATTGGGACACCCCTTCACAAGGTGGACCGGCCATGCCCTCCACACAGAGGACGGGCCACATGCCTACCCATGGAGGACGGGCCACGCACTGACATACAGAGGACGGGCCACATGCCTACACACGGAGGATGGCCACGCACTGACACACATAGGACGGGCCACACACAGGATGGGCCACACGCCTACACACAGTGGACTGGCCACACACGGAGGATGGGCCACACCTCCATACAGAGGACATGCCACATGCCTACACATGGAGGACAGGGCACAAACCTATACACAGAGGCCGGGACACACACCTACAAACGAAGAAAGGACCACACACCTACTGTGGTGCCACAGCAACGGAGCAACTCCGCTGGCGCAGCCATCCCCTCGCTCATCTCCACACGAACACACGCACACCCCCACTAAACACAGACACGCACCCACGTTGGGTCTCGATGGGGGGAGGGTGCCTGGCACCACGGGTTTTCATCCGAAAGGCCCATAGCAGAGATGTCCCCCAGTTTCCTGTTGCCAGGAGATTGGCTGACCCCCACCAGGCCGGATTACATGGTGGCCCCCCTAAAGTCAACTTAAAAAGTCGTAGGGACACATACAGCTTTAAAGGCTGGCCGCGTTGAAGCAGACACAACACGGGTGGTGGGGCCTCGAAGACAAACACTCTACGGGCAGTGCAAACAGTGGGGTGGGGGAAAATCCCTGGGCGCCCTAGGAGGAGCGATTTAAGAGAGGCAGGAAATTACCGGTGAATCAGAGATGAGGAACGCAGATATGGGGACAATGGAAAGGGGGGAAAGAGAGGGGGGGAGATGACGTGATGCCCCCCCCCCCCCCAACGGACAGATCGTTCAAAACTCGGCAGGTAAAGCGTTCGATTGGCCGCGCAGGAGGACATCATGTCACACGGGGATTAACGGGCTATGAGAGGATAGGAGGGGAGGGAGAGAGCGAATTTAGATCAGAGTTCTCCTGCTACCGTCGAGAATCCCAGCTGCCCTCAGCGTCCGCGTGACCCCTGCTGCTGGGTGTAGCTGTGAACTGAGTTTATGGGTGGAATTGCCATCCATAAACTCGGCACTACTACCCATAAACTCACAGCTACCCATTGACTCAGCACTGCCCATCGACTAAGAACTGGCCAAAGACTCAGGACTGCACCATGGACTCAGCACGTCCCATCCAATAATAATGTCCACTTATTAAATCGCTTGTCACCGAGAGGTCGAGCTCAAAGCAAATAAGTTATTAACAAAGCGATTATAAATCCTAATATGAGCTCGCAGGCTCATGATTTTACCAGGCATACAATTCCTCCCCACCACGCTCCCAATAAACATGACACAATTATCGAGGGAAAAAAACGTTCTTAATGGATCACTGTCACCCATAGCCTCACTGATACCCATAGACTTGCACTGCACCATAGACTCAGCACTGCCAATAGGCTCATCACTGCTGCCCATAGACTCAGCACTGCCCATACTAATATATAACCACCCAGCTCTGACATTCTGTGACTGTGATTAACGCGGCACGGATTACTTGAAGTGCGTCACGTGACTGCGAGCAAGCAGCCAACCAGAGGTGCGCCCCTCCCAAACATGTACACCCCCGGATTGGTTGAAGTGCATCACGTGACCGCAAGCAAGAGACGGGTGAGTGAGAGTGAGGCAGAGCCGCGCTGTCTCCACTGCTGCCCTGAGGCAGAGCCGTGCTGCGTCCACTGCTGCCCTAAGGGACCCCCGTGCTCTCCATTGCTGGCTTTAGGGAGAGCCACGCTGTCTCCACTGCTGCCCTGAGGGAGTGCCGTGCTCTGTCCACTGCTGCCCTGAGGGAGAGCCACGCTATGTCCACTGCTGCTGTGAGGGAACCAGACGCGCTCCCTCCACTGCTGTGGTTGTTCGGAGACACCACAGGCGCCCCCGCACAACAACATAGTATAATCATAGTGAACGTTTAGCAAGCGCGTTTCACCCAGAGGTCGAGCTAAAATCAAATAAGTAAATAAATAAGCGAATCTAAAAACTAATATGAGCACGCAGGCTCAGGATTTTACCAAGGATACAATTCTCCCCCCTCTACCACACTCCCAAAATACATCACACAAGTATCAAGGGGATACAAGCTATCTTAATGGAGCACTGCCATCCATAGACTCAGCAATGTCACCCATAGACTCACTGCCCATAGACTTAGCGCTGCTACCAATAGACTCAACAATGCTACACAGACTCAGCATTGCCACCCATAGACTCAGCATTGCAACCCAACACATTCCTGCGGAAGGAGCTGGTAGGAACGTTGGGTTGCTCGGTCAATGGCCAGGGTCAACGGCAGCGTGGTGTATTCCGAAAATATGCCCAACTGTGAGGGCGGGCACAAGCCGGCGTGAGTAGGTTAAATGTTGAGTTTTATAAGGGCACCACGGGGTGACCAGCCCCTCCCCACCCAGCCCCACCCCTCCCACCCCCACCCAGCCCCTCCCCACCCTCTCCACCCAGCCCCTCCCCACCCAGCCCATCCCCACCCTCCCCACCCAGCCCCACCCTCCCCACCCAGCCCTCCCCACCCTCCCGTCCCGACCCAGCCCCTCCCACCCAGCCCCTCCCTCCACGACGGACGGACGGACACAATAATCCCCTGTGGGCTGATGTAACCAGGAGGTTCCTACCAGTATAAACTCACAGCTCCCCATAGATGCAGCACTGCCCATCGACTAAGAACTGGCCATAGTCTCAGAACTGTACAGACTCAGGACTGCACCGTAGACCCAGCCAACACTACCTGTTCTGCCTCACGGCAGGTGTTTTGCCTCACGGCAGATGTGGGGGTGTGTGTAAACAGGAATTTCCTGTTTTGAGGTTGAGTTTCGTCACGTGACCAGGAAGTTACAATTTGACAGCCTCCCAACCACCCGACAGGGATGTCAGCCATTACACAGTACAAAATGGTGGTACAAATCGCGTCCCAGTGAAGACAGCTGCATCTGTTCATTGTGGGACTTTAAAAAGCATTGTCTGTAAGTTCGTTTATGTTCTTATAATACTGGGAATGCCGTTATAATGCTGTAAATGCCCTTATAATGCTGTTAACTTGTTATGATAAATACGAGGCCTTGTTAACAACGAAGCCTGCAACTTGCCTTATTGTAAATGTTACTTGTAATTGAATAAGTCGAGTCATACTCGTACCCATGTAACCTTATTGCGATCTTGAGAGCAAGGATGATGAAATATCTCATCCACAGTTCAGTATTATGTGTAGTGCTGTAAATTTGGGCTGCAGCATGGTTGATCACACGAAGTGCCCTTACTTAACACAGTAGCTTATACTCTTTTATAGCTATTCAGTACTAATGTAGGTGCCTGGTCTATCCAGGATCTATTGTTGAGTTTAATGTTATCTAAGACATGTTATGATGCTGTAGTATTCATTGTATTGATATTACCAAGTATTAACAGATGCTGTATTTGTGCTGTGTTTTTCCATCAGTTTTACCTCGTTCAATTCATTAAATACGTTTGGAGTCGGATGTTCACCCTGGCTCTGAATGTTTATTGGATGCGAGGTTATCTGCTTGGATAGTGGTGCAACGCAGCGCATAGCGAGGCCGAGACAGTAAAAAGACATTCTTCTTGGAGCTCCCAACCAGCCAGCTCCTTCTTGGAGCTCTCAAGCAGTCAGCCCTGCAACAAGCAAGGAGCTCTCAGGCAAACAGCCCTGCAGCAAGAAAGGAGCCCTCAAGTAGTCAGCCCTGAAACAAGCAACCAGCTCTGCAACGAGTCTACATTAAAATTGTGTTGCAAGCATCGCAGCATGGAAAGCCACAATTCAGCAGGGAGAGATGCTGAAGAAAGTAATTTAAGCAATCCAGTGCCTCCCATCCTGCCTCAAGAGGACCAAGGGAGTTCAAGGCCACAAAGAGAGGTCCGGCTGGCACAGCGGGCCTTGGAAAGCTATGATGCTGAGAAGCAGGACCTTGATGCCAGGATACAAAGGGCATGGGACCAGGTTGAAGCAGATATATCTGAAGCTCAAAACGCCCCATACACAGTGGCCTCAATTCAGCGGGTGATAAAGCGAGTGAAGGTGAGCAGTTCAAGCTACAAGCTGCCGGCAAATAAATACATTTCCCTCCTGATGAAGGTGAAAACAGACGAGGGCATCGAGGGAGTGTGCATACAAGAGCACTTCCTTGAACTGCTCTGATACTGGTAGGAACGAAGTGGACCAGCCTACAATAGATTATATCGTCCATCCGTCCGTCCATGTAGCAACATCGCCCCCTACTGCAAACACTTGGCATGACCCTACAAAAACCTTTAGACTCAGTGACGCTTTCCTGGCTAAACAAGTGTAACATTCCCTTATAATTCCCTCAGATAGCTTTTAATTAAAACATTTAAATTAATGAGGCTTTCCTGGCTAAACAAGTGTAACATTTCCTTATAATTCCCTGAGATAGCTTTTAATTAAAACTTTTAAATTAAAATTTAACTCAGCGCCCTAAAGCCTACAGCTAGGCCTAAAGCCTCGAACTACGCCTCAAACTCTCCCTTCGTATCGTACCCCCGCGTGTGTGCAAGGGAGTTAATGTTTAACAATGTTACATTCCCTGATGCTTTTAAATAGAAACATTTAAATTTAAAGCTTTTACATAAATAATAAAAACATTTAAATTTAAAATTAACTCACGGCGGCCTACAGCTAGGCCTAAAGCCTAAAACTAGGCCTCAAACTCTCCCTTCGTATCATACCCCCGCATGTGTGAAAGGGAATTAATGTTTAACAATGTTACATTCCCTGATGTTTTTAAATATAAACATTTACATTTAAAGCTTTTACATAAATAATTAAAACATGTAAATTAAAAATTAACTCACAGCAGCCTCACGCCTACAGCTAGGCCTAAAGCCTAGAAATAGGCCTCACACTCTCCCTTCGTATCGTCCGATTCGGTGTAGCAACATCGCCCCCTACTGCAAACACTTGGTAGGACCCTACAAAAACCTTTAGACTCAGTGGGGCTTTCCTGGCTAAACAAGTGTAATAATACATTATGTTTATATTCTTTGGTTATTCGTTCTTACCAGCCCACCCCGCAGGGTCCTGTTAATATGAAGGCAGTGCTACAAGACGCAATGGACCGCGTGGAGGGCTTAAGAGAGACACGATCTCAGCACTCTGTCTCATCTAAGTCCACCACAAGATCTAAAGGCTCAGCACACTCACAGATATCATCTACTAGTATGGCAGCAGCTCAGGTATGTGCAGCAGCAGAAGCAGCAAACGTCCCAACCAACACTACCCATGGGTGAATGAATGAGTGATTGTGTTGGCGAGTGAGTCGGTGTTTGTGTTAGTGAATGAATGAGTGAGTAGGTGGGCGAGTAAGAGAGTGGGTGAGTGGGTGAATGAGTGAGTGGGCGAGTGAGTGAGTTTGTGGATGGTTGAATGAGTGAGGGAGTGGGTGGGTGGGTGGGAAATCGGTTGAGTGGGGGAGTGGGTGAATGAGTGATCGAGTGGGTGGGCAAGTAAGCGAGTGCTTGAGTGAGTGAATTAATGAATGAGTGGGTTGGCGAGTGGGTGGGTGAGTGAGTATATAAGTGAGTGAACGGGTGAGCGAGTGAGTGTGTCGGTGGGTGAATAGTGAGTTGGTGAACGAGTGGGTGAGTGAGTGAGTGAATGAGTAGGTGGGCCAATGAGTGAGTATGTTAGTGGGTTGGTGAATGAGTAGGTGGGTGTCTGAATGAGTGAGTGGGTGTGTGAGTGGGTGGGCGAGTGAGTGAATGGGTGGGAGTGTTATTGAGTGTGTGGGTGAATGAGTGATTGAATAGGTGTGCTAGTGGGTATGTGGGTGATTGTGTGAGTGGATGAGTGAGTGGGTGAACGAATGATTGAATCGGTGGGTGGATGGGTTGGTGAATCAGTGAGTGTGTAGGCGAGTGAGTATGTGGGTTATTGAGTGTGATGATGGATGAATAAGTGAATGAATCTATGGGCGATTGAGTCGGTGAATGAGTGGGTGGTTGGCTGAATGAATGAGTGAGTGAATGAGTGAGTGGGTGGATGGGTGTTTGAATCAGTAATTGAGTGTGTTTTGGCGAGTGAGTGAGTGAGTGGTTGTTTGATTGTGTTGGTTTGTTGAATGAGTGATTCGGTGGGGGAGTGTGTGGGTGAATGGGTGAGTGAGTGGGCGTGTGAGTGAGTGAGTGGGCTAGTGAGCGAGTGTGTGGATGGGTGAATGAGTGATTGAGTGGGTGTGCAAATGATTGAGTGTGTGATTGGGTGAATGATTGCTCGAGTGGGTGGGCAAGTGAGTGAGTGGTTGAGTGGGTGAATGAATTAATGAGTGGGTGGGCGAGTGTGGTTGAGTGAGTGAGTGGGTGAGTGTGTTTGTTGGTAAATGAGTGAGTGGGTGACTGTGTGAGTGGGTGATTGGGAGAATCAGTGAGTGATTGGGTGGGCCGCTCATACATCAATGACCCCTGGGGGGAGGGGTTTGAGGGGTTTTAACAAGCGATTGAAGTTTAATTGGTCCTTGGTTTAACGTACGCCTTTGTAAAATACACTTTGAACGGACTATTCCGGAACAATTTTATCAATCCACCACGCAGGTCCAAAGAGTAAAAAGATTTTGCCAACGCGTTGTCTACTTTGACGAGCAAATGCAAGGTTAGAGCTTCATTCACGCCACGTCTGGTGCCGTCGCTAAAGCCGACTGACTAACGAAGTGGGTGAGTGAATGAGTCAGTGTGTGAGTGGATGAGTGGGTGGATGGGTGAGGTAGTTAGTGAGTGAGTGGGTGAGTGAGTCAGTGAGTGGGTGGATGAGTGAGAAAGTAGGTCTGTGAGTGAGTAGGTGAGTGAGTTAGTGAATGGGTGGGTCAGTGGGTGAGTCAGTGAGTGTGTGAGTGAATGGGTAAATGAGTAAGTTGGTGGATGAGTTACTGAGTGAGTTGGTGGATGTGAGGGAGTTTGTCAGCTTGTAGGTGAGTAAGTTAGTGAATGAGTGGGTGGGTTAGTCATTGAGCAAGTCAGTGAGTGGGTGAATGGGCAGGTGAGTGAATGTGGCTGGACGAGTGAGTGGGTGCATGAGTGAGGGAGTGGGTGAGTGAGTGGGTGGGTGAGTCAGTGAGAGGGTGGGTGAGTGAGTCAGTGAGTGGGGGAGTTGGTTGGTGAGTGAATGAGAGAGTAGGCTGGATGAGTCAGTGAATGAGTCAGTGAGTGGGTGAATGGGTGAATGCGTGGGCGAATCATTGGTTGGGTGAGTCAGTGAGTGAATGGGTGAATGAGTTGGAGAGTGAGTGGGTGGGTGGGAGGGTGAGTGGGTTGGTGGGTGAGTGTGTGGGTGAGTCGGTGGGTGAGTGAGCGGCTGGGTGAGTGGTGAAGAAGGGTAGATGAGTGAGAGAGTATAAGTCAGTGAGTGTGGTTGGACGAGTGAGTTGGAGAGCGAGTGTGTGGGTGAATGAGTGGGTAAGTGGGTGGGTGCATGAGTGAGTGAGTGGGTGAGTGAATCAGTGATTGGCAGAGTGAGTGGGTGAGTGGATCCTCATTAAAGCCGACTGTTCTTAAAATCGCTAAAATGTTTGATTGCGAAAGTAACTTTACAATACATATGCATTAGTAATTGGGGACATTAACTTCTTGTAAATCAACAAGACACCGACTTCGGACTGCTGATTTTGGAGTTTGTTGGTGAATGGGTGGATGAGTGAGCGAGTGGGTGGATGAGTGAGTGGGTGGATGACTGACTGAGTGGGTGGGTGAGTGGGAGGGTGAGTGTGATGGTGGGTGGATGATTGAGTGGATGAGTGAGTGGGTGAGTGAAACAGTGAGTGGCATAGTGAATGGGTGAGTGGATCCTCATTAAAGCCGGCTGTTATTGAAGTCGCTAAAATATTTGTGCGACGGTAACTTTACAATGCCTATACATTTGTAATTGGGGACAACTTCTTGTAAATCAACAAGACGTCCACTTCTGACTTATGATTTTAGAGTGCGTGGGTGAGTGGGTGGATGAGTGAGTGAGTGGATGACTGACTGAGTGAGTGGATGAGTGTGTTGTTGGGTGGATGAGTGAGTGAGTGGGTGGATGAGTGAGTGAATGAATGGGTGATTTAGTGAGTAGGTGATTTAGTGAGTGGGTGGATGGGTGGATGAGTGGCTTAGTGGGTGAGTAGGTGGTGACTGGATGATTGAGTGAGTGGGTGGATGAGTGAGTTGATGAGTGGTTGAGTGAGTTGGTGAGTGGGTAGGTGAATTGTGAGTGAGTGGGTGAGTGGGTGAATGGGTGGATTAGTGGGTGGATGGGTGAGTGAGTGGGTTATCTCCCCCATGCACCCGTACACCACCACACAAAAACGAACACGGAGGCGTGCACGCGCGCGTCCCTGCGGGCGCGTTTTCCCCACACAAAGTTGGGGCTGGCCAAAACGAACGGCGGCGGTATGACTATGCACGCGCCCCTCCTGGTCGTTAAGCCCTAATCCGCGTGCCCGCAATGCTAATGTAAACCAAAAATAAACGGCGGCTGTATGAATATCTATAGGTGCGTGCTTCCCCAACGGCCAGTGCTACGGCCCCCGGAGGACCCGGCAGCGTAATGCAAACAGGCAAACTCGCTGCGTAAAGCGCGCTGTGGAAACTCGCTGCACGCGAGCGCTTACCACCGCCGAGGTTATCCAGCACACGCCGAGCGCTGATCAACAGAAACGGCGGCGGTATGAATATGCACACCTACCCCCTGGATGGATAAGCCTTAATCTGCTGTGCAAACAGAGGCTAATGCCAGCGGGAAAGGAACGGCTGGGATAGGGCAATGGGCACGCCTCACCGTTAACGCATTTCTACCGTGTAAACGCGCTGCGTAAAGCACACTGTGTAAACACGCACGCGAGCGCAAGCACGCGCAAACGATGGCGGCTTTGTGTGGTGCAGGACACGCGCCTCACGCTCAAATCACTCGCACCACCCCTACGCTGCAGCCCTGCGCTCGCGCTCACGCCGGGGACCCCGATGCTGTGAGTGGCTTGAAGAGGCAGGACGGCAGGCAGTGAGTCGTGATGGCCCGGAGGTTGTAGACAACTGGCTCAATCGTCCCGGAGCTCCCACCTTTTCTCTAAACTTTAAAGGCCTGAGGGGGGGGGGGGGGTGTCACCTCGTGCAGCCAATCACGCGCCTACCTTTCGATTTACAACTGATGTCCCGCCCTCACCTGGAGCGTCTGTTACGCCTCCACCCATCGCTTCGTTTTTTTGCTCTTCCCACCCCTTACCCATTGTTCTCCCGTGCCCAGTAGTATGAGCCTTCGGTTTTGCTCTTTACGCCTAATATTCCACCCTCAGTCCTCCCCCCAATGTTGTGAGTAACTCATTGCGGTTGGCCCAGGGAACCTCTTTTTTTGTCGCCCATACAATTTTAAGCCAATTTAGGGGCACCGCAGTGTAACCTGTCCTGTGGGGGTCAGCCAATCTCCTGGCACCGGGAAACCGTGGGACTCTCCCCCTAGGGGCCCTTCGGATGAAAACCCGATGTGCCAGGCAACCCCCCCCCCCCCGCCAGGATACTACTACGTGGGTGCACTGCGTGCCGGTGGCGTATTTAGTGCGGGGGCCGGGAGGGAGTCGCGGCGCTTGCAGAGTTGCTCTGCGGTCGTGGCACCACACGTGTGTATGTGGATGTTTGTGTCTGTATGTACGTGTGTATGTATCTGTATGTAGGTGTGTATGTGGATGTTTGGGTCTGTATGTACGTGTGTATGTGTCTGTATGTAGGTGTGTATGTGGATGTTTGGGTCTGTATGTACGTGTGTATGTGTCTGTATGTACGTGTGTATGCGTGTGTATGTGTCTGTATGTACGTGTGCGTGTGTATACGTACATGTGTGTGTATGTGTCTGTATATATGTACGTGTGTGTATGTGTCTGCATGTATGCGTGTGTATGTATGTATGTACGTGTGTCTGGCGAGCGGTAATGGAGCAGTTAGCGCTACGCTGCGATATGAACCAGGCGACCCGAGTTCGATTCCTGCTCACGGCCAAGACCCAGTGATGATTATATGAACCGGTCCTGGGCCTCCCATAGGTCGACTCAGCCTCAAATAATGATCTGGTGCGGTGCGTAAAAACATCGCTGCTGGAGAGACAAAGGCGGCTGGGAGTGGTGTTGGCCACCCACCCCCTCGTGTGCTGTTCTGGCTTTCATAGGTGCTCGCTAACAGCACTTGCCAAAACAGTCTGCTAAGGCTATACGGGGGATCTTTGTCTTTGATGCGTGTCTGTACGCGAGTGTGTGTGTGTATGTATCTGTATGCATGTACATGTATGTGTGTACATTTTGTACCGGGGTTTTGTTGTGTGAGTCTTCGATCTCTATTGTTTATAGATGGGTTTCTTTCTTTCCCTTAAGTGATCTTTGGACGAGAGCTATTGTCAGGGCAATGGACATCAAGATCAAGATATTTGTTCTCCTCGCTCTGGTGGTAATCGTCATGGTGTATTTTTCCAGCAACCTCAAGGTACGATTCAAGGTTTTTATTTATTTATTACAAAGCCTTACCGTGCACATTTCATGCTGGTGTAATAAAAGACTTCGTCAGGCACTGCTGGTCTCCGTTGGTCTTTTATTTAGTTTCCTCTTTGCACCCCGCTGGTCCTGACCGCGGACCAGCGTCTCCTCGCACGCACCCCGCATGCGCTCCCTCGTCGGCTCCCTCTCGCACCCCGCTGGTCCTGACAGCGGACCAGCGTCTCCTCGCACGCGCCCCACGCGCGCTCCTCCGTCAGCTCCTCCACTCCCCCACTCCGCACACCGCTGACGGTGTGCCGAAGCCCCATCAGCCACGTGGCTGATGGCGCGGCGGCCACCCAACGTGGTCCCGCTTCTTCACTCCAACAACTGACCCCGATCCCTTCTGGGCTCCCCCCTATATCCTGTTTTCCACGTGATCCTGACTCCTCCCCTTCTGGATCGTCAGATCCGGCCTTCCCATACTGCCCTGCTGGCTCCACCCGCATTCACCTCGCTTCCAATTGGACCCGAGGTGAACGGCGGCCCCTCCCACACGCCCCCCATACTGGGCTCCGCCCCCCAATACCCCGGGCCGTGTGATTGGGCCAGAGCCCAGCAGCAAACCCCATTTATGCTCGCATTACATGACCCCCCCCCCCCCCCCTGATGTAAAAGACCAGCCGTCCCGGCTGAAACAGGATAAAATAATGCGAGCGACAGCAACACATTCAGGAATTACAACCGACACAATGGAGAGCACAAAAACGACTAACACAATCAACGAAAGGAAAGGGATTAGGATCCGGTACGGAACACCGGCCCGTCCTCCGTGCAACAAGCAAGAAAGAATTGAGGAATGGAAGGCAATGCACAACAACGGTAACGGACACGCAAGAACGGCAGACGCGCATAAATCAGGAATGCGGTGTCTTAGAGCGTGTCCGTGTTGCTGATCCATCCACCTGGCTCAAGTCCAAATTCAGAGAACAACTGGTAGAGCAGGAGTGACGAACAGGCGCTCCACTCCCCCTTCAAGTCCACATCCGGTTACCACAACCGGTGACACCCAGTGTGGCAGGCGCCGAAAATCTGTGACGAGAAGGAGAACCCAACCCCCTGAGGCACAGCACGACGAAACGCACATCAGGTCGACCCCTATATCCGGCAAGAAGTTGCACCTGGGGGATGCCCCAGTATCTACATTTAAAATAAAAAATATAATTTGCACGTGACAACAAAAATTGTCCTGCTCTTGCCCATCAGCAGTCCTCCCTTGAGGATCAGCACAGACATCTCACGTACACAGCATCTACCCACTGTCACTCTCAACACAGCCCCCGGCCGCACACCCTCGCATGGAAAGAGCAACGCTCTCCAGCGGCAACATTTAACTTGCCTTCGCCCGCACCGTGGTCGTCCAACCACAGCAACGTCCACTGGCCATCCATTCGGCCAGTGCAATTTCGGGGACGAGACAATGGCACATCGCAATGACTCAGCCACGCTCCATCCCGTACTATCCCATCACCAATGGACACACCCCAGCATCTTATCGTCTGACGCTTTACAGACAAGGGAAGGTTCATCCCTTGGCAAGGCCAGACCCCATCGACCCGCCAAGAGGCAATGTTCCCTAGCCAATATCTTGACGATATGGAGTCGCACTCCCCAACACGCATTCCGAACAACTTAGGTTTACTATCACCAATAGGCTGAACCCGCTGTCCAGCATGTGGCCTCACTGCCGTCCTAGCAATCACCCCGGACCCGTCACATTCCGCTAACCTAGGCCATATACCATTTGCTTGAACCCCCACAATATCCATATCCCCGAATAGGATCTGCAGGACTAGTTCCCCTATACATTCAATACCGTTATAACCCAGAGCGGAACAAGTCCGTGGCCATTCCCGCTGGAGGACCCGCAAGGGGAATTCCTGCCCCATGCTAGCCAGGTCTCACCGTTCGCTGCAACGTAACGGAACCCCTACTCCTGAATTCCGTGAGCCTCCGGCCCACCAGGTTAAACAGTCTGCCACTGCACGATGGAACCCTGACTCCCATTAGTTTGAGACATACCACGGAGTGTCTCGCCTCCGGGCTGTCAGGTCAGCCATCGGCCATAGCCCGATGTGACCACAACTCGTGCATCACCCACTCAACAATGGCAGGTGTAAACTGGTGAAATATGTGCCCCAGAATAGAACCCAGCCAGCATCTCAGTCCCAAAATGCTGGTGCATTGACACGCCCCCCTTTAGTCAGACACGGGCCACTATGCTCCTGTTACCCCAATGGGCGCCAACACGCCAGCATTGCGCAAAACACGCAATGCACGCACACAAGTTAGAGCGCAACACGAGAATCAAGGGATGACAGCCATAACCGCATCCCCACGGCTCGACGTGTATACTTAAAATGGCGGCGGCACGCGCGAAGCGCTCCACCGAGGTTTCCCGCACTCAAAATGGTGGCGGTACGCACGCCCGTGCGCGCTGAAAATGGCGGCGGCACGCGCGAAGCGCCCCACCGAGGTTTCCCGCATGCGCTCAAAATGGCAGCCCCCTGCGCCAAGCGCATCCCCGCGATTTCCCACGCTAGCCCAAAATGGCGGCCCAACGTGCGACCAATTCGGCAGTTTTTCCCGTGTGTGCACCCCATCTGCCCCTTGCTGGGGGTCACAACACACATCCTCTGTCACGTTAACAACCCCCAACGATACAATGCATCGCCGCAGCTCGCTGCGCACAGCAGTCGTATCGGGGGAATTTTTAACCCATTCTTTGACCCAGACACATTGCTCATACACACCAACTCGCAATGCAACCCCTGGCTGCACGCAATCAACGGAAAGAGCGACGCCACTTGGCGGCAATTTACGGCTCCATGCACCCTTGACGGCAGAGCCACCAACAACGCCCTCATCCCTCAACAATCGCAATTTCCTATGAACACACATGCAATCTCGCGAGCACGAACACCTATACAACCAAAAATTAGGGTCCCCCAACGAATTGACCAATTTCCGAACAGGTACGCATAACTAATAACAATCCCGAACCCAATGGTCAGAACAATGCACCGCACTCCGTATCTGTACAGAAAGACACTCTATACAGTATGTGCAGTCAGCATATCGCGATCACAAGCAGCAAAGTTCCATACAGGTCGTACATTATGAACAATCGTGATAAGAGCTGCAGGCAGACAACACACCGTTAACCCTGTCGTACCTTGCAGCAAAAAAAAAATCATCATAAAAAAAACCACGTCGCACACGACAACCCACGGGATGGTAAGGGGCTCGGGACACTCGACGCAACCGAATTAATAATTAACTTCGCCATCAAGATAACATCCCCATGCCACAACGCATAAACACTATTTGACACAGAGCAAACACAAGCAGACAGCGCGTCCATCCTCAACACACACACAACTCGAACCGCGCTCCGCAATCTCGAGCCATAACAACGCAATTGCAACCCAGCACACGCAAAATGGGTGAGGTATGTGTTAGGCCCGGGTGCGTATCGTCACGACTCACCCGGGGGCTGCGGCGAGCAGAGGACGGCAGGGTGGTGACTTGAGACGCCTCGAAGAACTCGGATGGTGAGCGCAGCGTCCTCTTGCGACTGCTCTGGTGTCTCGCACTTGAGCCAGTGCGGGGGTGCTCCCGCCCAGGCAGCAGCAGCAACGGCAGCTTCCCCCATGGCTCTGGCGCTCTCTCGTTGAAGGTGGTGAAGCAGCATCGGCGTCTTCTCCTTGCGGCTCCTTCCTGCAAAACAGCCGCATCAGCAGCACGATGCACACCACGCAGCACCTCCGAGATGGCAGAGCCCAGCCGCCTCTCCGCTGCGATGTTCACGATGGCGGCGGCCTGCCACGTAGCCGCTGGAGGACGTGTGCTGGCGGCCGTCTTCCCAGCGCGCCCGATGTCCTCCACTGGTGCGGAAGACACACCAGCCGTGGTTGCAATAACCGGGACCACGGAGCCCGGGGTCAGCCGGTTCTGTGTTGCCGCCTCTTCGTCGTCGGAAGATGTAACAAGTGGGTTACGCTTTTTTAAGTGCTCAGCCATCTTCCTTGATGTCATTTTGCCTTGAAAAAGTCCACTTCTGACTCCAGTGTAATAAAAGACTTCATCAGGCACTGCTGGTCTCCGTTGGTTTTTTATTTAGTTTCCTCTTTGCACCCCGCTGGTCCTGACCGCGGACCAGCATCTCCTCGCGTGCGCCCCGCACGCGCTCCCTCGTCGGCTCCCTCCTCGCACCCCGCTGGTCCTGACAGCGGACCAGCGTCTCCTCGCTCGCGCCCATGCGCACTGCTCCGACAGCTCCTCCGCTTCCTCTCGCACCCCGCTGGTCCTGACAGCGGACCAGCGTCTCCTCCACTCCACATACCGCTGGCCGATGGTGTGCCGAAGCCCCATCAGCCACGTGGCTGATGGCGCGGCGGCCACCCAACGTTGCCCCGCTTCTTCACTCCAACAACTGACCCCGATCCCTTCCGGGCTCCCCCCTATATTCTGTTTCTCATGTGATCCTGACTCCTCCCCTTCCGGATCGTCAGATCCGGCCTTCCCATACTGCCCTGCTGGCTCCACCCGCATTCACCTCGCTTCCAATTGGACCCGAGGTGAACGGCGGCCCCTCCCACACGCCCCCCATACTGGGCTCCGCCCCCCAATACCCCGGGCCGTGTGATTGGGCCAGAGCCCAGCAGCAAACCCCATTTACGCTCGCATTACACTGGTACACATGAAGGAAGAATCTGGCCCTGCTATTTGTCCACATGGTATAAGGTCTTTGTGTCACTGCACTGGTCCACACCTATGTCCTCTTTGTACTCTTCGCCTTTTGGCGTTCTCTAGTCTGACACTGCTGGTGAGACTATGCCCTAAAGAAGGCTGCTGTCTCGTGTGTAGGCCAATAAGTTTCAAAGACAATGCATAAAATTGTTACATGATTATGAAAGACTAATAGACTACATAAGTGAAGTGGATTCAACTGAGTCGCAGACGTACACATTGGAGGCAACACATTTATTAATACCAACACTCGGGGTAACTACCCCTTAACACGACAACAATCTATGGTGGTGGACCACCAGGCTAACTGCACGGTAACTAGCTACAACGGATCGGACCACAGCTTGGGTCCAGGTCCACGTGTTGGAGACTCTGTAGGATGTAGAACGTAGATTCTTCTGGATGAACAACAGCAGCTGGTCCCTCTGGGGGACCCGGCTTTTATCCTCTGTGGCGTGGCTGGCTCCGCCCTTGGCCACGACCACCTTCGAGAATCCTCGAGCAGAACCTCAGACCTGACACGTGACCACCCCTAGCCCCCATCTGGGGGCCCTGTGTAGACTTTACCGGTCACGTGTCCTTCGGGGTCAACCAGAGTGCCATGGCCCTTAGCAACCCCATTCCCATGGCCGGCACTCTCACACACTATCCTGTAGGGGTCGGCACTGCACACAGAGCGTGGTGCCTTCCAAGGCTGTCAGTCAGAGCTCACCGAGCCCCTCCAGGGCCGGTACTGCACCCACACCGCACGCCGTGCCTCTCTCAGGCCGGCATTCCACAGTGACATCCGCAATATCACTACATAAGTAATAGTATATTATACTCGTCTACTGACACTGGTGGTGAGATTAGGCCCTAAAGAAGGCTGCTGTCTCTGGTGTACGCCAATCAGTTTCAAAGACAATGCCAAATATGATCAGAACCACGCTTTTTTGCATGTTCACCACAAGTACTGTGTGTGTGGTTAATGCAGTAACTTTTACAAAAGGTTTATATTTGGTGTTTGAACATCTTAACACAACTCCTGTATAGGTATTCGTAAGTACGGGTGTGTTCGTTTGCAAGAAGGTGCGGGTGTTTGTAGTCTCAAACAGTGTTAGTTTTATTGCCAGAAAGGGTTAAACCTATTCTTATATGTTGATACTGGCTAGAGATGTCCCATGATGTAGCTGCTCGCTCCGAGCTCTCAATGTCCTGATAGTGGCATTGTCTTTGTGCTGTTCGCCTTTTGGCGTCCTCTGGTCTAATACTGTTTGAGACTCGGCTATAAAGAAAGCTGTCTCTGGTATGAACCAATCAGTTTCAAAGAATGCATATACTACCAAAGCATTTTTTTGCATATTCCTTGCAAAAGGTTTCAGTTTGGTGTTTTAATATCTTAACACCTGTCTATTTGCCAGAAAGGGTAAAACCTATTCTTATAACATAATATGTATTATTGTTGTTCGTTTTTTTTTATAAGCCGTAATTGTGGAACTCTTTGTCTGCCGGCCCGAGTAGCCCTTGAAAGTCAAATTCTTATCTCAGTGGTCTCTGGTCGGGATATACGCTTACTCTGATTATCATGCGTCCGAACACCAGACCTGAAATTGGGGAGGAATTTTGCAAGAATAGGGGGGTGGGGGGATGTGGAGGGGGTGCTATTTTGCTATTGCTTTTCCAAATTAATTGACGTAAAAAATATCTTCTATTGCAGATGTTGTTAAAGATTGACGAGGGCATGCCTGTGGTCTACTCCTGTCGTGCAAGTTTATACGAGATGATGTTAAAAAATAAACCGAAGGTCATTGCTCGCCCAATCGCGGACATGACCTTCGTCTCATCAGCCTCCAACAGCATTGCCAGGGTTATGAATGGCAACAGGACGCGACCGCTCAGCGTGGGTGACACGCTGCTCGTCGAAGTCAAGGTGCGAGACTTCGCCGGGCGCCCCAAGCACCATGGCGGGGACTTCCTGCTCGCCAGGCTCTCAAACGTGCAGCTCGACGCGGCCGCCTCCGGCGCGGTGACCGATCACGGCGATGGCACATATCTCGTGGCCTTCCGCATCTCATGGCCAGGCGAGAGCCACGCCGAGGTGGTGCTCGTCCACTCGAGCAAGGCGGTCGCGGCGCTGGAGAGGGTGCGCGAGGCCGTGCCTGACAAGATCGGCTTCTGGGGCTCGTTTGTGTCCGGCCGACGCGAGGAGCGGTCTGTCTGCCACGTGTCCCTGAACGCAACGGCAGGTGGCCGGCTCTGCGACTTCGGCGACGCAGAGCGCGGCGAGGCGTGGCGGTGCGCGAGGCCGAGGGGGATGCCCTGCAGTGCCCTCCGGGGCTACGTGTCGTACACCAAGTACGCGCACATGTTCACGAGTGAGGAGTGCCAGCTCTTCTCGAGGTGAGCGAGAGACTTCGGTTCTCGACAACGTCTGAAACCCGCTACGAGCAAGAGTTGACTTGTTATGGCTACTCGGCAAACTCACTTCATCCAGTCGTTCTTCTTCCCCCATGCCGGGGGGGGAGACTTTTCTCACGATGCAGAAACACGTCCTCCATTACAACGCAGGATGCATGCACCTTTAGAGAGCGGGTTCTGTGCGCAGTCGACGAGCTACAGTAATGTCTCAGAATATATATACAGGGTGCTTCAAAAAAATGGACACTTCTGACAATTTGCAACAATACCACAAGAAATGTGCCTCCAGGCTCTGGAGACCACCTGGAGAAGATTCCAGGCACGTGTTGACAATGATGGCGAACAAGTGGAGACTCTATGACTTTTTGCAGCTATTAATACACATTTGCTATAATGTTAGTGTATTATCCGTTTTTTTCCCATTAATAACGATAGTCCCATGTAAGTGTTTATTTTTTTAAGCACCCTGTCTCTATCTACAGTAAGGTTTTACTATATATACATAGTAAGGTTGCTCTGTATGTATACAGTAAGTAAACACTTGATTGGAAGTTTTTGTGACTGCAGGAATTACTCTTTCGTTCTTGCGCTAAAGTCACGTAGAAAATAACTAAATTAAATAATAGATTGCAACACAAGCAGTCGTTATCAGATAGAACTACATTTGAGAGAAAGATAAACACAGACACGGAAACACACAGACAGACACACGAACACAGAGACAACACAGAGACACACAGAGAGAGACACACAACATACACACAGAGACCCAATACCTCTGTGTCGTGGTCTTAAATAGAGAGAGGAGGGGGGGGGGGGACAGAGAGAGAGGTGGGTCTGCTGGAGCAGAGAAATTGGCATGTCAATGAGAGAGCTGTGTGAAATCCTCGTTATTATACCTCGAATGTCGTCAGTATATTATTGTAGACAATCGTAGATGATCGTAGACGACCATTCAACATAGACCAACATAGACAATCGTAAACTAGCATAGACCACCGTAGACTGTTGTAGACCACCATTTCATCGTAGACCATCATAGACCGCCATTAATCATAGATCATCGTAGACCATTATAGACCATCGCAGATTATCGTAGACCAACATTCATCGTAGACCATCATCCATCGTAGACCATCACTTATTATAGACCACCATTCATCGTAAACCATCGTAGACCGCCATTAATCATAGATCATCGTTGACCATCATAGACTATCATAGACCATCATTCTTCATAGAACATCATTCATTGTAGACCATCTTAGACCTACATAGACTATCGTAGACCATCGTCCATTCATAGACTATCCTCCATCGTAGGCCAGCGTAGACCACTATTCCTTCTCGTGAAGTTTATGGATATCCCAAGCCCACCGTGTCACTGGAATGCAATCCTGAGTTTAGGTGGGGGGACACGACCCGTGAACACACACACACACATACCCATCGATTAATGAAGAAAATTGGTGATGGAACGGAGCCGCCGCCACCATAAAAAAAACAAGGAGGCAGGGGATTGGTGGGACACCTGATTGGAGGGGGGGGGGATAACCACCGGTGTAGAGACAATGTCCAATTTTCGTGAAGTCCAATTTAAAAAATGTAGAAAAAACCCTCCGGCAAAGTCGCTGTGAATACGAAGAGAACAGCCAACTTTCCAATTCATCAGCACCTCGACAACGTTCCCCCTCGTCATTGCGTGAAGTCACGCAAGGCCTCCTGTTAGAGCCTGTTGCTCTTACACCCGATGAAGCTTGGGAAGCTGGGTGGAGTTCAACAGAACTCACAAACACCGCGTTATTGTGAACGAGCCAATGCAGAGGGATCCCCTCTGGGGGTTTTGGTGTTCACACGAAGCTGTTCGCGGTCTCACTCTTAGCAGCATCCACCGCAAAGACCAGAGCAGCAGGAGATGCGGATATCCTGATGCACAAATGTAAACTTAAAAAATTAACCCGTAAAAACAAAGTTTTTCACTATAAATCCTTTATATGCGTGTTCAATGGGCCACAACCCAGCCCACATTGGTCTTTGAAACGGGCGGCTAGAGTCCTCTCGTCCTCTGGCTTGAGATGGCTGCCACCCATGGGTCAGATGATTGCTTGCCACCATTAAGCAATTGGTAATTACATATAAAAAAAAATCCTAAAAAGTGTAAAATTTTACAAAAACATTTTCAGGAAAATTAATTGTCACGCACAACGAGTCTGTGTGCAAAATGTCAGCTCGATTGGATCACGGGAAGTGGGTAAAAAAATACGACTGAAAGATTTGCACGGTCATAAGCGCGCAAGCAAGCAAGCAAGTGAACTTAATATAAAGGATTTTAAAAAACCTCTGTGGTAGTAGGAGTGTGACTGTGGTCATCCAGAACAGAGACCATGGGAAACCGTGTAACCACGCAATGCCCCAAATCACAGCGATACCACCACTCCGCTGCTCCTGATGTGGCTTATCTGGCTCTACCACCTGAATGTGAAATTGTGGTTGGTTGATCTGCATCTACATCAGCAGGCATGCGGAAGAAGAAGACCAACACACTCACACTCCTTCACCCATACAACAACCGCCATTCACCACTAAGTGGTGGTGACGTCCCCACGATGCTTGTGCCAGGCTATGTGCATGTTGAAGCAACGTGTAGTGTCAAACGCCCGCTGGCAGGTGGTCACGGGGCAGACCCAGGTAATAAGTATGTCCCTGCAGACTCCATGCCACGGGTCGACTGACTGAGATGACTGGCTGATGCACCACCTGTGCCCTCTACTGTGCCAACTTGCTGTGCTTTAGCCACCCGGCACTTAACTCGTTGTTGTGAGCATCGCTCCTCTGCTCTCCGTTGATGTTGGAGGGTGACTCCCTCCAACTGCCCGGTAGCGTCCTTCACGAGCCTGCTCCACAGAGGTCGATCTTGACACTGCTGGTACCAGTCATCGGCAAGTCCACTCAGCTCCACATCCTCCTGTACCACATCACTCCATCTCATCTCTAGCCCGTGCCGCGCCCGTTTAGGCAGGCCAGCCTAAATGTTTCTCACTGGTGAAGATGCTCCATCAGGGAGGTCCACGTTTCACAAGCATAGAGAAGGGAGGGAATGACCGTGGCCGAGGAAGACCTGAAGCTTCGTGCGGAGCGACAGACCAGGTAGCTTCCACACAGCGTTACACAAACGATGAAAACATAATGCCGCTCGACTGATTCGGAATGAGACCTCTGCTGTCAAACCGGAGCCAGTCATGAGCACACTGCCCAGGTATGGGACACTCTCCACTATCTCAACAACTGCCCTATCACACCCACCCACACCCACCCACACCCATCCACACCCCTCCCCACACTCACCCACACGCACTCACACCCATCCACCTGAATGTGAAATCGTAGTTGGTTGCTCTGCATCCACATCAGCAGGCGTGCGCAAAAAAAACGAAGTTATAAAGTTACATGCTGCCACTCGCCGTTGGTTTCACGGTGACAACGGGGGGAGTAGTATTTTGCAATTAAGTAATGGTGCATTGCACGTGCGGATTATTGACCAGAAAATAATCATCTTATTGACTTGAAATAATCATCTTATTAAAATGTCGTTACAGTGGGAATAACCTTGTTCCTATAAACATCAAATACAAGGTGCAAGCTACGCAGTATAAAGGTAAGATGTGTGATATTGCGATCATCAAAAGTACAGTAATCATCTGGTTATTCACGAAATTTGCTCTCCGCGGTTTTGGTTATCGGCGAATCGCATGTGGAACTTGACTGCTGCATCGAGAAAGTCGACTTTTTTTGGCAATTTGTTATTCTTTTATCCAGAATGGGAAATTTCCACGTAAGTAAAAATGCGTCACAGACGACATTGCACACAAATCGCATCAAAAGTGAAAAACTAAGTCGCCATTGCAGGCTTCACACAGCGCTTCGTCAGCGCACCACCCGTGGTTGAACCTGCCCAGATCATTCATCATTTTATGAGAACCAAACTCAACCTGCATCCCTGTGCTCGCCAACAGACGGAATAAGAAAGCGGTGTTCGCGCACTCGGAACCTGCCAACTTGTTCTTTCGACTCTTTAAAATTGCCAACTTGGCTTGTCCCAGTAGGTAATTGGCCGAGCAGCCCCTTCTTGCTGAGCGAGATATGTAGAAAACTAGTAGGGACATCTTGCGCGTAATTTTACAAACAGGAGGGCGAACCTTGGACAGCGGGCAAACCACGTGAGACACGTTATGGGACCTCCCTTGCCAGTATCAACATATACGAATAGGTTTAACCCTTTCTGGCAATAAAACGGGGGGTGTTAAGACGTCAAAACACCAAACAGGAACCTTCTGCAAGTAATCATGTACAGAATTGACCACACACGGTACTTGTGGTGAATATGCATACAAAAAAGAACATCGCATGTTCGCCACAACTACCACATGGGGTTTATGCAGTAACCTGATTCCTTGCAAAAGGTCTCTGTTTGGTGTTTTAACATCTTAACACCCCCTGTTTTATTGACAAAAAGAGTAAAACCGATTCATATATTTGAATAACTTTGTGTTGCATGTTCAACAGGTCTCTGTTTGGTGTGTTAACATCTTAACACCCTCTGTTTTATTTCTTATACGTGAGACACAGTTTCCCTGCTGTCACAATGTAATGCGGGCGTAAATGGGCGGGTGGGATGTGACGATCCGAGAGGGAGGAGTCAGGGTCACGTGGGGGGAGAAGTTATAGCGGGGAGACAGGAAGAGATCCAGGAGTCGGGGGGAGTGAAGAGTGGAGACCACGTTGGGTGGTCGCCGTGCCTCAGCCTGGTGGCTGAGGGGCTCATGACGGCACCAGCCAGCGGGGTGGAAGAGAGAGTTGGGGATAGAGACAGAGAGTGGCGAGATCGCCACAGAGGCCACGCAGGGCTGAGGTTGGAGAGTGGCGAGATCGCCACAGAGGCCACGCAGGGCTGAGGTTGGGGAGTGGCGAAAATCGCCACACAC